ACTAAAGTGGATTATATAATAATGAAGGAATTTTTTTTCTTTTAAAAGAGAAAAGCAAACTGGGGGTGTGGGGGCAGGGAGGAAAATGTGTAACAGTGGACAACTGGAAATACAAGTTCTCTATACTCTTTCATTAAAATCCCAATTTTTTAAAAAAAGTGTGGGCAAGCTCTGGTGGCATACTGGCAAGAAGCTGCACTGCAATCCCAGGGCTGTGCAGTTCAAATCCAACAGATGCTGTGCTGGAGAAGGAGGAACAATCTCCCCCTGTACCAGTCAGAGCTGATTTGATGGTACACACACACACACACACAAAATATTAAAATTAAAAAAAAAGTTTGGAGGTCAGAAAGCATCTTGAAAGAAAGGCCTGGCAATCTATTTCTGGAGATCAATCAGTGAAAACACAATCAAAGCATAGTGGTCACTGGGCAGCATTTTATTCTGTTGGGTACAAGGTCTCCACAGGTTGAGGCGAACTCAAAGGCACGTAACAGCACTTGTTCTACAGACGTGGAGATGAGCCCAGAAAGGTAACCATTTATTCAAGGCCACTCCGTGAGGGATAAGAGACCAAGACTGAGCCTGTAGGGGCTTTCTGGAGCCCATCTGTGGGAGGAAGGCTTCAGAGGGGATGGTCACCCCCACTGGTGCTTGTGCCTGGCCCTTCAGTACCTCTGGGTCCCCCGGCCAACAAACTGGGCTTATCCACAAGTGTTCACTGAATGATACAGGTGGCTGGTTCACCACAGAGATGGAGCCCTCTGAGGTCCCTTCCAGCTGGGAGGATCTACATGTAGCTTCCAGGGGCTCCTGGGTACTTGTGTTGTGCGATGCTCACATTCAGCCCTGGGTGAAGAGTCCAGCTGGTGTCCATGGCAATGTCCTCCCAGCTTGAGAGAAGACAGAGTGGTCAAGGAAGGGAAGGGAGGGCTGAGGGAGTCTCCGGCCCCACCCCACATGCTCATCATTGGCTGTGCCCAGGTTGCATCTTGTCCTCTGAGGATCCCAACCTGGAGATACCTTGTGCCTCAGCTTCAGGCTATGACTAAATTCCTTGCATGCAAAGCTGAGAGTCCAAGCTTTCTAATCAGGTGGTATTCGCTTGCAGGAATTGTCTTCTCCCCTCAGGACAGTGTAGGGCAGCAGCTGACTGAAGTAGGGCACTTGCACCCCAGAGCAGTGGGTCCTAGAATTGAGGGAATATGATCTAATCCTTGCCTGGAGATGCTCTCCCTCTAATACCTACATGGCTCCCTCTTACTTCGACCAGATCTCAACTCAACACCATCTCTCTTCTGAGGTTTCAGAGGTAAAATCACATCACCTCTTCACCCCAACACACATTCACTTCTTATCAGCCCCCCACCCTGTTCATCTGTAAATGTGCAGTTAATTGTGCTCCTTCAAAAGCTATACACAGACCAAGAAAGGGTTGTCCAACAGCACAAGGAAACACCGCATGTTTAAAAATCATTTAAAAGGGTTATATCCTTCCTCTGTGCCTATTCAATCAGTGCTGAGCAAACATGGGAGTTGGACTATTGAAGAAGAATGTGGCAGCAGGATTAGAGGAAGATTCACTAACAACCTGTATTATGCAGATGGCACAACTGTGCTTGTAGAAAGTGAGTACGACTTGAAGCACTTACCGAAGAAACCAGAGAACAGCTTTCAATATTACACCTCAAAATCAAGAAATCAAAAATCCTCATCATGGGGCTATAGGCAATATCATGCTGGATGGAGAAAAGATTGAAGTTGTCAATTACTTCATTTTAGTTGGATCCACAATCAACACCCTTGGGTAGCAGCAGTCAAGAAATCAAAAGCTGTGTTGCATTGAGGAAATATACTATCAAGGCTCCCTCAAAGTTTAAGGTGCACCTGATCCAAGTCATGGTCTTTTCAATGAATTCCTATAAATTTACCAGGCCTTCAAAAACCTTATGTACAACAGAGCACACTTACAGAGCAGGGTTCAGGACTGTTGTACATAGGGTTGCTGTGAGTCTCAAACAACTCGAAAAAAACCCATAAATTTCAGGGCGTTCTAGTGGGCTAGTGGCAAGAAGCTGTGCTGCGATCCCGAAGGCAGCACAGGGTTCAAATCCACTAGCTTCTCCTGGGAGAAGGATGGGCAAACTCCTCCCATGCGGTTAATTGCCTCTGAAAACCCGCTGGAAAGTCAGCTATGGGTAGGTTCCAATTCAACAGTACACATTGACAATAAATTTGAAAGCTAAACAATGAAAAAAGGAAGACTGAGAAAGGGTTGGTTTTGAAGTGTGGTGAAGTGAAGAGTGTGGACTATTTCACAGACGGCCAAAGGTAAAACTTCTGGTTGAAGAAAGTACATCAGAAAGCTCCTTAGAGGCAAGGCTGATGGTGCTTGGTCTCACTTTGGGCACATTTTCAGGCTGTTCACACAATAGCCTCTCGGTCTAGATATAGGTTTTATATGAGCACAATTAAGGACTTGTTCCTCTCAATGTTAGCCATAATTTGTTATAACCCACAGAGTCAAATGCCTCTGCATAGTGAATAAAACATAAGGAAACATCCTCCTGCTATTCTGCTTCCTGTCAAGATTGACCTGCCATCAGCAGTGGCATCCCCAGTGCCACGGCCTTTTCTAAAGTCTGCTTTAATTTCTGGCAGCTTTCTGCTGATGTACTGTTCCAGCCCATGGAAGTAGCACTCAAGAAATCAAACGGTGTATTGTACTGAGTAAAATTTGCTACAAAAAAGGAAATGTATTGTTTGCAGGGTGGCTGTGAGTTGTACGACTTGATGGCACCTAACAGCAACAATAACAACCCACTGGAAGGTCAGTTATGACTCAGTTCTGACTTGACAGGAACGAGATACATAAATATATAGCTCACTGCCAGGGTCGATTCCAGCTGCTAGCAATCCTCTGTGGGGGTCTCCGAGGCCATACTCAGACCACCTGAGAGAGACTCTGGGTTGGCAGCACAACACACTAGTTGGCAGCTCCGTGTGTTACAGACATCTGCTCCATGGGGTTTTCGTGGCAGTAGGACGCCAGACCTTTCTTCCAAAGCTCCTCTGGGTGGACTGAAACAGTCAACCTTTAAATTAGGTGGTGGTTGTTATGTGCAGTTGGGTCGACTAAGACTCATACCAACCCAATGAGCAGCGGATCCGAAATCTCACCATATACCCATGCCATCCTCGGCATCTCTGCTATACCCAAAGCCCACTGTTAACAGTCACTGAGTCGATCCATCTTATTGAAGGTCTTGGTGTCCTTGTCCAAGGACTGGTCCCTCTTGACAACATGCCTAACGTATCTGACACTAAGCTTCACGTGAACATCTTTGCCTCCAAGGAGCACCCCAGTTACACTGTCTCCAAGACTCCTTTGTTTGTTCTTTTGAAAGTCCACAGGATCTTCAGTATTTTTCTTCAACACGACAGCTCAAAGGCATCGCTTCTTCTTCTGTCATCCTTATTCATTGTTATTCAAATTTCAGATGTGTAGGAAGGATAAGACCATGGCCTGAATCAGGTGCATCTTAGTCTCTAAACTGACATCATTGCTCCTAACACCTTGGAGAGATCTCTGACAGATTTTCCCAATGCCACACATCTTTTGATTTCTTGACTACTGATACTAAAGGTCCCAACTGTGGATCCAAACAAGATGGAATCAATGGGGAGTAAAGTGCAAACCTTTTTTTCACCACCCAGGGGCTTAAGAAAACCCCATGGTTTTCACGTCACTCCACTCTTTAACACGTTAGGTCACCATGAGTCCTAACAGTACTTCTTAGCTATGCAGCTCATTCCATCTCCTGCTGCCATCTCCTCAGAGTGGAGGGCAGACACTTGGTCTGACCTGTCGGCTGCTGGGTGCCAGGTGTCTAGATGGTCATAGAGGGAGAGTGACAGCTCCTGGCCTGCAGGCAGAGGTGAGGAGGGAAGGAGGTGGTTTTTTTTTTTGGGGGGGGGTTTCCCACTAGTGCTGGGACAGGTAGTTATTGTTAACTTACTCTCTGAGGCTGTTCACTCACCCAAGGCGGCTGGTCCGTGAGCCCCTCGCAACCCCTCTGCCTCAGTTTCTCTGCTCTGAAGGAATTGCCTCTAAGACTGAATCTTTTTTTCTGGTTGGTATCATGCAGGTTTTTTACAGGGAGGTGTCAGGGAGCTGGGCTTCTCAGAGAATGAGGACCTTGCTTCTCTAAGTTTCCAGCAAAGATCCAATCCCTCCACCCTTTGGGGTTCTGAAGGTTGCTGGGGTCTATTTCTCTTCCATCAAGGGCCCCAGGAACTGAAGGATCAACTCCAATCAGCAGAGGTTCAGAAAATCTCTTCATAAGTAGTGGGGTCCTGTCTCTCCACCCTCAGGGTTCTCAGAGATCCCCTTCCCAGGAGTGCCCACGTCCACTAAGAGTTTCAGGGGAGGGAGGTGGACTCCCTACCCATCCATCAGCGGTTCCAGGCACACCCTCTCCCCCAGGGTCACAGCGCCCGGGCTCCCAACACAGAAGGAGTCTAAGAAGGCCGCAGGACTCGTGTATCCGTGACGGTGTCACGGTCTCTCCCGGGCCTCACACAGACGAGAGCCGGGAATCCCTGGGCGTCCCGCCGCTGTTGTGCGCGCGTGTTGACGCCGTCGCC